CATGTCAAGACTTAAGGCAGTAAAAAGAAATTTTGAACTCTAACCCAAGTGTTCTGGAAATGTACCTGTGTTAAAGGAATACCTGCATCTCAGTGCTCTCATCCCGATTATACTTATAGATCTAATCCTTAAGAAGTGTTTATGTTCGTTTAGAAGTGTCTTCAAGCACAAACATTTTGGTGTAGCTTTACTGACACGACCGTTGGATAGGAGGGTGAAAGCGACTTGCAAGATGTCAATGCTAGTGCCAAGAAATTGAAACAAACTTTGCCTTACATTTTTTTTCAAATCTTTCATTAAATCGAAAATCAACGTAATAGGGACTAAAATTAAAGTATTTCACCTAAAGTTTGAACGCCAAAATTGCAAAGCCTTTAATTTTAATCTTTAGTTTCTCTTATATGTTCCCTTAAGTAAGGTCCCGTAGACGGTATTCAAAAAGATGGCTAGTCGAATTGCTAATCGTATTGCAGATACCTGAAACTTTTCAGGTACTTCTCGGATTACCTTGAAAGTTCAATTGCTTCTTCAAGATAAGTTTAATCTTCTGGCGTAAAGTGGAATCAATCGATTCTACGTAGAATTATTTCAAAAAAACTTACTTACATATATGTGTATATGATGATGACTGTTTGTTCTTTTATCCATATTTTGTAAAAACATTGAGACATTGAGCTGATAGAAGCCGTAAAAAAAAAGGATGAGCTATAAGCCATTTTTCAGTCATAATAAACATTGAGTTCAACTGAATTGCGGTCCACTATTGAATGACCTGCACCCCTCCCTTTGATACAGTTTTTCATGTAACGACATTTTAAAATTATACTTTGTATTGAGAGTGATCGAAGAAGTGATCTGATTCGAATCATTTTCAATAGCGTTCGTCCTTGGGCCCAAACGTGTCGGTGTACCAAAATTTTGAAAACATCCCGAAAATTGCGACATGTAGGTGGGACACAAAGGCCAAGGGCAGACATGCAAACTTTAATTAAATTGAAAAGTAAGCCAGAATCGATCGGTATAATAGAAAATAGATCTATGTTAAGTCCAATACCAGAACGGAACAGAACGTTGGAATTAACAACAAGCGACCGATTCCCTTATATCTGTTTTACTATTGAAGAAGTTTGGCTCGAATTTAATTGATTTAATATCGCTATGGGCGTCTTGGTTTGCTTTGAACGATTTGAAGATTCTCCTTGCGAGTCTTGTTGAAAGTTTTCCCACTTTTAGGACAATCGGCTTGATTAACCTGAGATATACATAGATTTCTTATGCATAGAGCAAGAATTCAATTAAAAGATTTCTTATCAAATATTTTGTCAAATAAATTATTTTAACAATGTAATTAATTACATAAACTATTTTCGTTGTAAAGCGAATGAAATTTTTTCAGTACAATATAATAACTTTTTAAGAGTTATTCCAATTTCAATTTTTTAATTTTTAACATTTCCGATTAAATGGATAACTTTCTTTGCATTATATTATTATACAAAATTTATCCAAAATGTGAAAGTGTGCGTATAACTCTACTCTAGGAATAAGAACTCTAAGAACTAAAATTTTTTATCAACATATGTATGAATGCTTGTTTGTGCATGTATGTTTGTTCGTTTACTGCAGAAGATTTGTAGTAGAATTAAGTTTTGCAAATGTGATAATGAAATGCATTCGCATTAACATGTATTACCCCTTAGCACGATGCATTAACAAGTTTTTGTAAAAGTCTGTTATACTAGCAAGAGATAAGATATTAACAGATACGCTCACAAGTGCCATATAAATTTACTATTATTTTCTACTTTCATATCCACAGCTGAAAGTTGTGCGTATATTAAGAATACGCTTCAAAGAGTCCCGCGAGTTTATCTATATATATATATATATATGTCTATATATATATATATATATTGTGGATTGGTTTGGTTTCTTTGATTTGTCTCGTCCGTCCATCGTTAGCCTATCAAGTACAAATATTCTTACTTAATGACCATAGATCAAAATTTAAAAATGGGCACGTCTTGCCGACCAAAGGTGAGCATATGATAATCCATAGCAATCATACGTCAATTGTCAAATTCACGAAAAATCTTTACTTTATAACTGATAACTTTAGTACAAGAATCGTCCCATGATCTTCGTAGGCAAACACACTTGCGCAAGAGATAGAATACTTCAACTTAAGCGAAGACTTATAAGACATATTGAACGAAACTATGCGAAGCCTATAGTTTTTCGGATTACGCACCATATAAACGTTTTATAATTTTTATACATTAGTTGTAAGGTGATGGGTGTATCAGAGATTCGCCTCAATTTTCTTATTGGTTTTATTTATTTATTTATTTTTTTTTGTACTATACCGCACTCTGCCTAGTGATAACAGTTCTAAAATCACTTTTAATGCAAGAACTTTAATTTTTTTTTTTTTTTTTTTTTTTTTTTTTTTTTTTTTAAAGAAGATGAGTACATCCTGGTGCAAGAAGAGAACGAGCGGAGAAAAGTTGAATATGTATAAGGTTTCCATATTCTCCAAAAATATTTAAGAAAAGTTCAAGAAATGAGTAGACGCGTATTCTTCTCGTATGTATGCGTGCTAGTGCGTTCGTTGTATGTATATGATTGTAACCTACATATAAAGTGCAATTGTTTAGTTTTGAAAACTACAATTGGTTAACAGATTTTCAGATATTCGTTAGCAGTTTTATTTCCATGTTTTGTTTTTTCTCTTTTTGATTTTATTTTTGTCTTTCTCAGTGAAAACTTTATTTTTCTCGTACTAGAAGAACACATCAAAAATGCATGGTGTGGCGTGGTACAGTAGATACATTATATACAGTCAAGGATACCCAAACAGCACACACTTTGCAATAAGAATAAACATAAGTATTTCTGACAGGACCTGCCATGCCTAGGGTGATTTTATCTCTGTCAAAGCAAGAGTTTTTCTTCTTCTTTCTTTCTTTCTTTCTTTCTTTATATTTACTAATAAAACTATTTAAAATTAAATAGTGCAATAAATACATTTTCCTATAAGACTGTTGTTTATAAAGCTGCTATACGAATCAATTAAAGATAAAAGGAGCAAAGTTGAAGCGTATCTGATTTAGAAATCTCGTCTATATCTTTTTGTGCTAATCGCATTTTTATTTTATCCCCTTCAAAGTAATCCCTCTTAGATAAAATGCACTTGGAGTAGCGCTTTCTCCAATCCTCGAAGTACTGCCGATATGGGCTCTTTGGTGTGGCCGTTGAGCTCTTCCAGCGATGCGATCTCTATTTACTTAATCGTGGCAAAACTTCGTCCTTTCGTGGGTGCTTTCACTTTTGTGAACAGCGAAAAGTCGCAGGGGGCTAAGTGCCGCACGAATATGGTGGCTGAAGCGTGATAACGAACAAGCAAAGTCAAAATTTATCAATTTTGCTATCATTTGTTTCACGCCCAAAATATCGAAAAAAATTGCATGGCATGAATCAATCGAGGCACCCTCTGGAACTTCTTTAATAATGATTCGACGATTCTCCACTGCTTCAAAGTTTTCATCGATTGTGGACGCGTTGGGACGTCCAAGATGGCCACCATCATTAACATTTTCAAGACCTTCTGCAGCGATCTTGTACCACTTATAAACATTTTGCATGCTCGGAGTAGACTTGCCGAATGGCACAGTCAACATTTTAAATGAGTTGGAGCGTTTAATTTTATTTTTTACACAAAATGTAATACAAAGTCGTTGAAGCACTTTTTTCGAAAGCAGAAAATCACCAAACACACACCCCAAACACGTCTAACCTTTATATCTGTCAAAAAAACCAAAAACTAAAATTGCGAAATGGTTGACAATGTCAACATATGTTGAGAACATGTGCACCAACATAACACAAAAAAAAAAAAAAAAAAAAGATTCGAAAATCGAATGTACATAACCCATGAAACCTGAAGCCATTTTCTTTTCTTTTTTTTTTAACACACCTCGTATTTGAAAGTGAGAATACGTTTCTTTTTAAGATTTTTTATAAACGTCTTAACAGATCTTGATGTTCATTCTTATAGTGAAGTGTGCGCTATTTATGTGCACATGGCTGTAAGCCAAGCTAGTTACGTTTCCTCGCAATTTCTTTTTAAGGATAGTAAGAGGAGCGTTGCATTTTTAAATGTTACATAATTCATTGTAATGGCAAAAAGTAATCCTATTGCACACAAACAAGACAATTCGCATATACAATATAATCGATTCTTATATCTACTACACGTCTACTGCTAATTCCTTTCTCTGTCGATCCTATTGTTTGCTCGCAAAGGCAAATGCATTTTGACTTAACCTGCGGCTAAGTACAATATATCGGGTAACCGAATTTGTTATTGTCCACAACGTCCACATATCCAAACAGTAAAACTTAGCGTATTTGCACGTTTTCACCTTTTTTGTATTAATTTGGTCACTTAAAGGCTCTTACAAACAATATTGGTGGTGGATCCATAAAATCGTTTACGAATAAAGATTTAATTGCGATGTAGTTGTGAATAATCCTTTTTTTTCATGATTTCTTAAACAGTTTATTAAAGTTTCATAATAATATTAATTAGATCTCAGATCTAAGCTTCTATATGCCTAAAATAACTGAATAAGAAAATATGCAAAGAGTTTTTTGTTGTCTGAATCTAAAAAATTGTTTATGATTGTTGTAAAAAAGTGAAATGAAAACTTTGTCTACTTCTTCACAGAAAATGTTTGAGAATCCTGAGAAAATTGTGGCCGAAAAATAAAAAAAAATAAAAAAAAAAAAAAAACGAGCCTTTATATTATAATAGTTTTGTTTATATCCGGTTTTCCAAGATTATTTCATAAAATCATTTTATTGCTGTTGTCAACTTAAACAATTTGGCTAATCATTGTTGCGATGTCTCGTTAGACTAGATTCAAATTAAAAATGCATTATTATTAAATGAACGTAAAAAGATGATAAAATTTTTATTATTAATATTATTGTTTTACCTTTTTCATCGAAATTTCCTGACAATTTAATGTCAATCGATTCGAAAACCTTTCGTACATCATTACAATAACTTGTATTCTGTATTGTGGGCTTTGTAAGAGAATCTCGTTGCAAACGTCGCCGACTGTGACTGCGTTGTGCGCTATAATGATGCTCTGGATTGTGATGGTAATAATGCTGAAGATGTAGAGCATCTGCCGTTTGGTCCTTGACTGAATCGACAGCATAAGTTTTGGCAGACATGCAGGGTAACGGCAACTGAATGAACTGAGCAATCAAACAAAACGAGGCCAAAAGCACACAAAAGTTTTTAAATGTTCTTGATGCTTTAAAGATGGTGGTAGGGATAGTAGTGGTGATGGTGGTTGTGGTAGTGACGTGAACGATAGCGGTTGCAGAATTGTGCTTGAGAGAGGCCATTGTGTAAAGATATGTATGGAATTTTTCAAATAAAACGCAAACTTGATCTTTGAACTTCGATTTTATTTTTTTTCTAGTTTTAATTTTTTTTTTTTTTTTTGTTTTTTTTTACTTTTTTTCTCTTTTTTTTTTTGTTTTTTTTTTTTTTTTTGTACACAACCACTTGTTCGGTGAAACGAAGAAAATAAACTTAAGAACCGGTTCGTTTTTCTAAGCAAATATTTTTAGGAGGTTTTCGAAAATAGTTTTGAAGGTTTGAGAATTTTTCAACAATAAATCTTACATGTATTTTTTAATTTAAGTTTAAAAAAAAAAAAAAAAACACTTTTTTCGACTTTGTGGCTTTCTATTTTGCAAAAATTGTGCGTTAAGTCATTTTTAGGCTTTTGATGCTTTTCCAGTTCGATTTAAAAAGCCGTTAAAGTTACTTTTCTTATGCGGTTTGTCGCCGTTAAGTTCCCTCTAAAATAATTATATTAGAGAAAACAGCTGTTCTTGTGGCCGCATTTTAAAAATAAATGTTTCCTCGATGTTGTTGTAGTTTTCTACGCTTATCTATTATTTCTTCGTTTATTTTTAACTTTAACCGGCTGTTTTGTGATGATTACCCTTTACGTTACAAAAAAAAAAAAAACAAAAAACAAAAATAATAAATAAATAAATAAATAAAACGAATGATTTTTTTTTTTTTTTTTTATTATTATTTCACTACGCTTTGTTTCACTGAACGGACCACGAGGCCATTCACATGTACGTTTATACTCGTTCAACAAGCACACACACAACCCTATGAAAACACTTTAGCAAATACATCGATTGAAATGGAAATATAAAGAAAAGAAATTTGCGAGAGATATACTTGTGTATGTTGCTTAAATCTCAACATTGACGACAATAATAACAGTCACGAAAACGATATTAGCAGCAGTAGCAGTAATTCTAAACAATAGCAGTGCAGTGGTAACGTTTTAGTTCGTTTAGTTTTGTTACTGTTCTGTGTTCGAGCCAGTCACTGAATTAGACATTCATGCGTAGTTAGATTGTTGGTGTTGTTCTTGTTTCTTTTTTGTGTGATTATTACAATGATTTTATGAGCATTTTTTTTTTTTTTTTTTCACTTTGTTTGGTAGTTACGCAGGTAGCATGCGAGCGGCTGATATTTGTAACTTATTGAGTCAGTTTAGGTCTTCGTGTCTCCCGTCTGAGGTTAAATGTATGTTTGCGTCAGTGTATCCGAAAAGTAGCATGAGTTATGCTACTCTCTCAAGGTTTGTTAAAATTGGTTTTAAAAATTTATTGAAAATAAATCTCTAAAATACTTTTTCAAGATGTCTTGTCTTTTCGTATATTGATGAATCTGCTTGTTAGATAAAACAGAGGTAGACTTTATTTTTTTTATTTCTGCGAAACTTCGCATTACATCAAATTATGACATAATCAGGGTACACTGTGTAATGGCTTAATAATTACAATTTTTATTAATTTTATGTTTAGAATTTTGTTTTTTACTAAAAATTTTATTTATTTATTCACTTTTTCACACCTTAACACAACTGGCACGCGCTAAACACATCCGCACGCTTTGAGTAATCTGAAAAAACTGAGAAATCATTTGCAGTCATTGGTATTACCAGCACTCTCTCACCCTTTTTTCTCTTTCTCTTCGTTCTGTCTCTCACTCGCTCTCCTTCTATTTCTCTTTCTCTTTCTTTCAAGCCTCGAACCAACTCAAGCGGATTGGATTGTGTTTGAAAGCATTTACATCCACACGAGTAATTTGCCTACTTACTAGGAATTCTTAGGCATGCTCGCAATTTTGTCAATGCCTTCATTCATTTGTCTATACAACACATAACAACAGCACATAATGGTCGTGGAAATAGATAGGCAGACTTATATATCGGTTTGCTCGGTTTGGATTCTAAATCATTTGCTATAACTAACCTATCCTTACCTAAAGTACATTTTTGATACATAATATGGTTGCGTTGGAACTCTTATTTATGTATGTGCCGTAGTATTTGTTGGTGTTGCTTTTTTTGTTTTTTTTTCTTTGTAGTGCGTTATATCCGCTTAAATATCACATCGCTCCTTAGTGCAGTTGCAGCATTTAACGCCACTTTTCACCTCAATTAGCACATTATTCTCTAGTCTAACATAATTTCTGCGTTTCTGAGTTAGTCAGCCAAGACGTCTGTTTAGTGTTTTAAATTATTTGTTTATATATCATGTAGGATATTCGGTACATACACACAGTTATATTAAGAATATTTCACGCCTGTAATACTAATAAAGAGATTTTAACAGCAGGGATTATCTCTTTAAGAAACTAGAAAAACTTTTATTTATTCACAGCAATAGGCTGAGTAACCGATAGATCGAAATTGTGAGAAATACTTAGAAAATAACAAAAAAAAAAAAAAAAAATTTCCATTATTAGCAAACATCGGTTTAATAATTCGTTTAATAGGAGAGTAACACAAAGTTATGGAAGAAGGAAGCGTTTTGGAATACAAAACAAAAAAACAAAAAAAAAAAAAAAGAAAAGGAAAACAATATTAAGAATCTACAAATTCCCCACCTTTTACAGCTAAGGGGTATATCATAAACGTGCGATTGGGAAAGCATAAGGCTAATGGGTACCTAATACAAACATATATGAATTAAAATACATTTAAAATGCGTATATAGGGTAAGAAGTTATTGTAAGTTAAGAGATAGTATCGGGAAATATCATTCCGGTTTTGTTTTTTTTTTTTTTTGGTTAGGGCCAATACTTCGAAGAATGTCTCTTATTCGTGTAGCACGGTGACGGCCAGTAAGAGGTGAGGAAAGAGAAAGAGATCGAAAATTCTACTTACCTCCTCTTTTAAGATAGCGAATCGGCGCGCTATAATGGATATATATTCTAAGTGAATGGAAGGCTGGGGCGATTTATTTTTCGTGGTAGATGAAATGATGGCGACAAATGGGAAGCGAGATTTTAATATGCTGAAGACAATCTCTGTTGCCAAAACTCGTCCTGGTGACACGAATGTATAGATCTATCTTTAAAGATGGTATAGTTTGTGTTGGTTTTGGTCCTTTGCTTCTTTAATCCAACCGCTTTCCGTCTTTTGTGGTGGTGCAGGTGTGAGTTACGAAATTATTAAGGAGAAAATGTGAAGGTCTACAGTCCGCTTTGAAGCATGTATATCCAGACATATTCAGCAACATCCAGCACCATTGAGCAATTACATTATATTGCCTACGAACTTATGCTTGGAATGAGGCTGTATGAGGCCACACGTCTTTTGGAGATCTACTGCAAAGTACTCGTTATTCCCCTAACGGGCCGGACGGCGTTAACAACTCAGTATCGCAGTGTTATGCGCGTGTCGTCTTTGCTATGTAGCGCGATCAGATGCAGGTTGCAGGAGAAACGTACGCGCAACTTATCAAAATTAACAGCTTGGAATCTACTCTAAAAGTATCTACTTGTACTTCTCCAGCTTTTGCCGGTCAAGGCCAATGTAAACGTAATATGAATCGAAGTAAGTGACACTAACTGGCAATAAATGACATTTTTTGCAATCTCTATAGATTGGCTTGAGACGGTGACGATTTTATTATTATCTTTCTTGTGTGCACATACCTACCTACTGGTAAAGAGTTAAACATCCCTGAGAAATATTAAGTAAAATAATAATCAAAGCTTCATATAATTGCAGCTTATTACAACGAGTCTCTGCTTATGTACATTACCTAATTAATGCAAGGTAAAGCATCAATTAAACACCTGTAAGATGCATGTTAACAAACTTTATTTGAGTTAAGTGCTAGCTAGACTCAAAGCAGAAGGAAAAAAAAAAAATTAAAAAAATTAAAAAAAAAAAAACAGTGCTCTGAACTTACTTACTGAACGTGCTATATGTATGCATTATCGTGCAATGTGTTGGCTATAAATAATGAAACAGCTTTTATCTCGTCTTGAGCAACAACAATTGCGCTAGCATTCGGTTAGAAATTCAAATTGCATTCAATGCTCTATTACTTAGAACTACGAGTCGAGTGTACGTGTTAAACACATGCGAAAGCATTATATTATAGGAATAAACACTTGCTCTAGACAGGATATTCAGTGTAAAGTGATTATGCAGAAAAGAAAAGAAAACAAAAAAAAAAAAAAAAATAAAAATAAATAAACAAATAAATAAATAAAAATAAATAAATAAATAAGAAAATAAACAAAATTGAATGTAAGCGCGTAGCAATCATTTTGACTGCAATTGAAAAGTATGGACCAGAAACACGTAAGTTCTGTATAAAAGAAACGTAATCAGATTGAAATACACATCCGTTGTTACCACACAGCGATGAATTCGTCATAGATAGGATTCATAAGATATGTATGGAACGGACTGAAGAGGAAATCATGAAACGGCAAAACCGTATCTTTCTGGTTTACAATCAAAATAATTGCAAAATTTTTATACTTACTTTACTTACTTACTTACTTACTTACTTACTTACTTACGTACTACTAAGGATAGATTGATAGTGATGTTGATGATGACATAAGCAATGTTTGCATAAGAGGTTGTATTGATTATGTTTATTGTGAGAGTAACTTTCATTCATTATACGACTACTTTATATATACGCACGTGTTAAGATACACTGAACGATTTGTTGTGCTTGTGCGTTTATAACGATGATTTGATTGCTTTTCATTCAGGCATGTGTGCATTCGCATGCCGCGAGGAATGCATGTACATATATATATATATATATATATATATGATAAGATCTCTAAAAATAACATCATATGATATGCTGAATGTCTTTTTTTCTTTCTTTCATTTTGTTTTTTTCTTTTTCTTTTTCTGCTTTTTTTTTTTTTTTTTATCTTGATATTAATTAAAAAGGAGATATATATATATATATATATATATATATATATATAAACAAACTAGAAAAAGATTGGGTTAAAAGAAATGTATTCGAATAAGCGAACAGTGATGATTACGTTTGAAATCATTGTGAGAGTAGAAGAGAGCTCGCGTTCCTTAGTTTGCAATATGAACGCCTGTGAGGTTGTAATAAAGCAATTAATTGTGATTAATGCAGAGTTAAGCAAAATTTCAATAGAACTAAAAATGATTTTACATACATACATTCTTATGTGCAAAGTTGTATATATACAAACGCTATAATAGTAACCCCAAGTATCTGTATACGAAAGGGTTGCATACATTTCAGCGAATATTAAAAGGAAAGGAAAATCTGTAATGAAAGTGAAACTAATTATGAATTCGTACTTAAGTAGTAGGTAAGCATTGTTTTTTAAACTTTGTGCTTTTCAAATTATAAAAACATTAACAAAAAGAAAACCAAAAAATAAGAAGAATTCAGGTAAAAAAGTAAAATTTTAAAGAGTGATATCACCTTGTGCTCACTAAAAATAGGGTCATTTTTCAAAATTTCTACACGAAAAAGAAAAATAAATTTTATTAAAAAAAAAATTTACTAATATTTAGGTTTCTCGGCATGAAAGTAAAAGTCTTAAGTTAAAAGTCATAGAAGAAAGTCCTCAGATATTTTTGATAAGGAAATGTAAGCATTGGAGCTCTCCCCGAAATAATCTTTTACTTTTTTCTTGTTTTTGTTCGCCTTCCCTTAGCGCACTGCTACTGATCAAAATGTTGCACCCACAATAACAAATCAGAAAATTATCCGAAACTATAGCTCAAAATCTGGCGTATATCACGTCGTATTTTCTTGAAATTTAAAACAAGAATTCCACAATCCATATACATTTTATTCCAAGACGGATAGAAATTAAAAAAAAAAAAAGAAATCAATGAAAAATAAAGGACATATATATTTTTTGAATTTATTTTCTTTAGGGCGCGCATGTATTTTGACCAGCGACATCTATTGGTGAAAATGATAAAGAAGTACACAACGGTAAAATTCGATGATTTTGACTTTTTTCTACATAAAGTAACAGATTGTGACATGGGTTTGCCTTGATGGCTTAACCCCACGGTGGCCCAAGCCGCGCGGGTTATTTAAGCGTAACCCACGCCCCAGAGTCCACATTGTTTATGGTGTATGAGTCAATAAACCCACTCTGGTCAGTGTTGAGGCCTATCCGTACCTCGATTTATTCCACTTTGGCATGGACCGAGTGAAAACCACAACCATCACGAATACTTCCCGAAGGGCCGTACCCAAGCAATCAGGGCTCACCAATTGATCAACTTCAATGCGTTCAAGGGAATAGGGCTCGTTCCACCGTAGTTTCTACGAAGCCTTGTTGGTCAGTTACCACCATTACCCAAAGGCATCCGTGAATATATAATTTAAAATTGTACGATAGGCAAAAGGATAAAAAGCCTACCGTCAAATCCCTTTTTAAATTATTTATATTATTTTCATGATTTGTAACACTCTAATATGCGCTTTCGACGGCGCATACAAAGGCAAAAGGACCAAAATACTTTTTAATTTTAATTTCAAATTTATTTTAATTTCTAGATCAAGTCAGTCCTTTAACGAGCAAATCATTGCATCTTATTTCATTGATC